CGCCGCCAGCGCCCCCGAGCACAGCCGAGGGGCCAGCCTGCCGCCCCGCCCCCCGCCCAGCCCCTCCCCCAACAAGCATACTTCTAATGAGTAACCAAAACAAACCTCTAGAAAGACCGCCATTCAATTCTAGAATTAAGAACATGGTATAGAAAAGTCAGCACATATACAAATATTTAGATTATATTCTGTGCTGCAGAAAACGAGCCAGTGTTTGATAGTGGGAGGTCCATGTATTTGTATTCTCATCATTCACACCTGCATTAGACCTCTACATTTGCTGCTTAAATGAGGTACCATATAAGAATATTAACCATTGATTTTTTATTCCTCAGTCTTTATAATGAGAATAAGGTTATATATTTTTCACAGATTAGAAATAATTATGTATTACATGGTATATAGTACACACTATAAACTATAATATAGAGTATTTTTATAATATATAACATATTAAAGGTGTATTAACAAGAACATAGTATACACTCAACAAATTTTAGTTATTTGTTGCTTTAGGAGCATAAAGAATAGCCAGTGATTTTTTTCAATTCAAAAGTTATGATTACATGATACTAGTAAATTGCAAGTTTAATTGGTAAGTTTCTTTTTTAAATTTAAATATCAGAAAATTAGAGAGCAACAAGTCATATTACTCTCTTCCTGTCAGTATTTCTAACTACACAAACTGTCTTGATAAACTCTCTTGACTAAAAGGAATTTAAAAACCTTGAAAAAATAAAAATATGTTTAAATGCATCAATAAGATGGGTAGAAAATAAGAAATTAAGATACTGTGTCAGTAAAGTTATAATTGAACCTCTCTATAGTTATACAGGCAAATGGTCTTAGTGAAGAGAGCTTAGAAAAGGCTCAAAAATATATGGAAACTTCATTTGTGTCCAGTTAGACACTGCAGATCATTGGATAAAAGATAGAATATTGAATAAATGGTGCTGGGGCAGTTGAAAATCTATATAATAGTAAAATTGGACTTTACATTTTTCCATTCACAAAAAAAAAATTCTACTTGAATTAGAATCTTAAATGTAAAAAGAAAACTTTGGAATACTTTAGCAAAAATTGTTGGAGAATAAATTTTTGACCCTTAGTTATAAATTCTGGTCACACATTCTGATCAGAATGGAAAATCCTGATGTACCAAATATATTACACTGAAAAATTTCTGTTTATCTAAAAATACTGAAAGGACATTGGAAAGATCCAATTAGGAGAAAATACTTTTAACATATATAAAACTTACAGAGAAGACTTTTCCAGAGTCTGTACAAATTAAGAAGGAAAAACATCAAACAACTTACAGGGAAAAAAAATCAGCAAAAGACATGAAAAGATATTTGACATAAATGCTCCACAAACACATGAAAAGATGTGTAGAAGTTAGGGAAATGTGTGCTAAAAATTACATTGAGATACTACACACGTCTATCAATTGACAAAAATTTAAGTCTGACAAACCAAATGTTGGAAATAATGTTTTCAAAAAAAATAATGGGGATTATTATATACAGCTAGTATATGAGTTAATTGGTAAAACTGCTTTAGGAAAATTGTTCAATGTTACCTAGTAGAATTTAACAATGAACTTTTCCTACTATTTTGTAGTTCCATTTCTAGGTACATACTCTGGATGGCATCTTACACAAGAGACACATGTAGAAAAATTAAGTGCATTGAGATATATTCATAAACTGAAATATTATATGGCAGTGAAAATGAATGTATTGCAGATATGAGAATCAACAAAGATGGATCACAAATACCTGATGTTAAGAAGAAAGTACATATAATGTTGAGCTGGAGAAGGCATATAATTCCATTTATATAACGTGCAGAAAATTAAAAACATGATTAGCATTCAAACATAAGTGGTAAAAATGAGTTTAAAAATTAAGGCAATCATTAATCAAAATTTAGAATGGTAATTTCTCTAGGAGAAAGAGGATTGCAATAGTTGCAAGTGACATGTAGGAAGTGATATATTTGTATGTTGAGAGACTTAAGACATTAAAGTTCTTAACTGATTCATTCCCTGTATAATCTTTTTCTTTCGTATTACTAGAAAATTCTTTTGTGGGGTTCTCCCTTTTTGACTTTTGATGAGATAATCTCATCAAAAAATTTAAAGATGTTCTAGCCTCCCATTTTAAAAAACGATTTTTACAAATACGATAAGCTATTTTTATTCCGCTCTAGTCACTTTACAAGCAAAATTAGAAGACTTTGTAACCATGAATTATTAATGACAAAGCTTACAAAGCTGTTTACGTCCATTTTGATTTAGCAGAAACATCAACCTTAGGTCAGCCCAATTGAGCAACATTATGCAGGTTTTCCTCTTTTGAAATGTGGCATCGTTAAATTTAGCCTGAAAATGGTATTTAACACAATGTGTTGTGTTCTGTATCAGGATTGGATAAACTGGCAGGTTTAATTGGCTTTCTCCGTTTTACACAATAATCGTTTTTGTTTATCAGAGTAAAATGTATTTTTAATGATATAAAAGATTACTCTAATGTCAGCAGTCTTATTACTAAAACTATAATTTGCTCTGATTTAACACTAGCATATAATGTTTCTGTTCTTTTGAATTACAACTAACCAAACTAGTCAATTTAATCAAGGGCTCCAACTTAACCTAAAAGAAAAAAAAAGTAGCTTAGCTGAAAAAAATAGAAATGCAAATTATTTACTTAGGTCTTTCTCAGCCTATACACTGACACTCTTCACAGCTCACTATCAGCACAAAGTAGTCCCAAATGCTGTTACTGTAGAATCAAACAGACCTGGTTTTTTAAATCCTTGTTTTGATACCTAGAAATATGACTTAGGATAAGTTAATTTCTTTGAGTCTCAGTTTTCTCATTTATGAAGTGGGCATAATAACTAATTTTCCATGCTACAGTAAGGCCTAAATTAGTAAAATGTATATCTAAACCCCCAGGTCTAATATCTGGTTTTATCAAGAGTTCAAACAGCAAATGCTCTTCTTAAGGAGTAAATATAGGTTTTGAATTATGGCATCATTTATAAATGAAATGATCACGTTAAACAAAATATATAGGTAAAATAAAGATTATGACTTTTTTTCTAATTTCTGAATTATATTCATTGAAATGAAACTTTATTAGCAATAAATTCATAGTAACTTCATAATTACATTTTGAAGTACAGAATACTGTGATTCTGTTGAGTGATACATATTTATATTATTTAGTTTTTGGTGTAAATTCACAAAATCATGTAACATGAACTGTAAAGAAATTTGCTATGAGACCTATTGCAAAAACCAAAGTATTAAATCCATGATGACTGCATATAATTTAAATAAAATGGACTTGCCAAGCAACAGGGATTTAGAACTAGTTTCAGAAATAATAATGTGATTAAAATGAGTTATATGAGAAAGAAGTACTTGGGAACTTAAATGTACTGCACATCTATGAGGTCACTCTGTTTATGCACTGGATGAACACAGCACCTGAGCCCAAAGGGTATGGTGCAGAATGAATTTTGTGAGTTGTAACTGATGAGGAGAATTGTGTCTTCACCAGCCTTTACATTCAGACAGCAGACAGTAATGTCTTTGATGCAGGAATCAATTTACTATTACCCTTTTGGAAATAGCAAAAACATATTCCTGTACAACAATTATAATATCTGATCTACACACTTATGATTTAATTGAATACATAATTACCTTATCATTTATGTCCCTTTAGTTCTTCTAGAAAATATAATCTTAAGTAAGCTTTGTACATGTGTTATGGAAATTAATATTTCTCTTATCTTTTGTTTCCCTACATTGGAGACAACAGAAAAGTAGACCAATACAAATTTTGCTGCAACATCTCATAGCAGAAGTAGCAATGACTAGCAATGTGTTGGAAAGTGTTGTCACTTTTTTCCTTGAGTGAATCTTTCAAATAAATGATAATAAACCTCCCTAACAGAATATTGATCAGAATGTTGTGAGTGGCAGTGATACTGAGGAATAACAATCTAACAGTTATTGAACCAGTAGAAAAATTAAGTCATCATTTGTAGCACATGTACTTTGTCTCACACATTTTAATACTTGAGAATAAATGTATATTTCCTTAAGGCACTAGAAGATTGTGCAGTTTGTATCAATCAGTTGTGGAATTTTAATAAGTGAATTTATCAGTATGGCTGTTTAAAATCAAAAGCTAGATCCATGCCCTTTTACTGAAAAAAAATCTGGAGATGACTAAAATAATTTTAATATTGTAACCTGAAAATGCATGTATTAAATGGAGTCTTAAGGAGTCCATCTCATGTTGCCAAAGAAAACTTCATAATAAAAAAATTAAAGCAGTGATTGATATTACTAATTGATAGAAAAACAGAGGAAGCTTTAACCTACCATATATACCATATAATATA